CCCCCCACCCCCGCCTCTACTGTTGGCCTGATTTCAGTCCATGAGAGTGGGTCGAACTCACCACATCCTGCACTGAATTACAGCCAGCTTATGTCAATAACCTTTTAAAACTGTCGAATTATGACAACGTATTTTGAATAAACTTAATTTATTTTGAATATTAAACACATTTGGACTGATAGGTTAAGAACAACTATGGACAGCATTTCTCTCTGCACAGTAATTCAATGTAGTTGAGTTATGCTGTTTAAAAACACATTGCTTTTGGATGCATTTTATTCTATTTCTGTGTTTTTATGATGCCCAGCCAAGCTATGAGCTGCTCAGTGACCCAGAACTCACTGGGCTCATGTCCTAGATGTCCTACTCATTATAACAGAGAGAGAGTAGGACTCCAACTAATGATTACTGTTGGTATTGGTTGATCTGTTGTTTTAATGATCAATTCTTTGTGCTATAAAATATCAGATGACAGTGAAACATGTTTTATTGATTCTCAGGACAGATTTGAACATGATAAAAGTAGTTGATGACACTTTTGGTGAAGAGAACTTGTTAAATAAACTGTTGGTTTGTCTCTACAGGACAAGATAGACGGCTTCGTTCCAGCTCACTTCCTGGGATGGTATATCAAGGTGTGTGTGGAGAACACTCACCTCAAATGTACTGTTATTGTCCAAAGATCACCATCTTCAACTGATGAAAAAGAGCTTGATTGAGTTAGCAAGGGAATGGAAACGATTTCTTAGCATAAAATACATTTAAAGCAAGTGATTTTCATAAATCTGACTCGTTAAAATAATGATCACTTAAATCCTTAAATACCAACACATTTGTTACATTTAAAAAATCTTAGTATTATCAGAATAAGAATGAGTTTGATTGCCAAGTAGGGTTACAGATACAAGGATTTTGCTTTGGTGTATAATGGAGCATACATAAACAGAGTTAGAGAAAATATAAGAAAACAACCTGTAAAACTTTTATACAATAAAAAAAAAAAAATGTTAACAATAAATATTAATATCTAAAAAAAAAAGTTCAATATGACAAAAATATATATACAGATTTTTCTATATGTTAAAAAGAAAACCTACTTCGCAACTCGGATCAGTGTTTTCTTTATCCTGCTCTTGTGTGGCAGACTGACAGCACTGGTATGCTGTTTTGCATTTGCAGCCAGGAGTAATGTTATTTTGAAGGTATCATGCTGACCTCCTCCTCCCACTGCCCACCATTCACCTCCTCCTACTAACTTCCTCCTCTCTCCCTCAGACTCTGGTGATCCGGGACTGGTGGATGTGTATGATAATCAGTGTCATGTTTGAGTTCCTGGAATACAGCCTCGAGCACCAGCTGCCCAACTTCTCAGAGTGCTGGTGGGATCATGCAAGTATAAATATTACAGCTCTTCCTCTGTGTATACCTAAGAGTCTACAGGTGTGCCTCAGCATGGAGTTTACTGTGAATACACTGAGTCTACATTAGATGGAGGTCACAGTGAGAGCAGACAAGGCTTGTGGGTGTGAACAGACTTAAGCAAAATGTAGTATAACTGTAGTTGAGTTAACGACAAAAACCTGCTCGCATGAAATTGATTTGCAGTGGAACACTTGCTCTGTCTGCAACTATGTTTGTGTTTTCTCACTCACCAATAGGGGATGGGTATCGTTAAGGTTTTAACGGTACTACTACTTTTATCGATACCGCTTATCGGTCCGGTCTTTTAACGGTACTCTTATCGGTGCTTTTGAAAAAAAAAAAGGTAAACTAATGAAACAAATTGTTTACAAAACTAACATTGCTTTTTATTTCAATTAAATGCATACTATCTCACATCAAAAGAAACAACAATGTTTTAACAAATCGTATTAAATAATCTGATGACAGAACTGTAAACAAAATAGCTGAAACTTTAACAAACTAAATAACTCAGTTACCTCTAATCATTAACCCATGTTTGTATAATGTAGTTAACTCCGTGTGTTGCTGCTAGCACATAACACCTGACGTGGAAACGTTACTCGTGGATGGGGCTACAGAGCTGCTAGAAAGACAGTCGAACCCGGTGCATTCCTCCGTCTGGATGTGGTGCACTTTTGCTAAATGTTTAGACACATTGCTCGTGTTTCCGCCCTTACATGCTAAACTCTTATTGCACTTTTGGTAACGAGCATCGAGACGGGTAAAATTTAACCACACCTCGGAGCGCGTTCTCTCCGCCATCTCCTCCGTGTCTGTGTTGCTGCATGTAGCAGCTGCGTGTGTGTAAACTGCCCCGCCCCCTCACTAAAACTGCAATATAATGTTTGTGTAGCAATAATACACATGATATCTTTTTTACATGTCTCCAGTACCGATAAAAAGACCGCTAACGTCGGAGCTTAACGGTACCACAGTCTTTAATAATTCAGCCCCGGCCAGGGCCCGTTTAATACCGGGGCTCGGTACCCATCCCTACTCACCAAACACTATAGTGTTTAAGGAATGCTAAAGTATCATTTTACCCTCCTAGCTCAGAACTAAGTCAGGCAGATCTATAACACCAACACAGTCCTCAGATAATATCTGATCCAACAAACTCGTGTAGGTGGAATACATTGGAGTGTTACTAGACCTTTTTTTATCAGCCATCTGCCAAGACCAGAGGCGTTTCAATTTGTTCAAGGTCAACTGAACCTCACTGAACGCAGCTCTCGGCAATAACTCAATAATGTATAGGCTTCACATGACAACTTCATAAAAATGTCTGATAGGATAAATGACAATACGACAGTTGGCGGAAGAGTAGAGCTGCAAGGTGGTCATTCTGGTTTGACCCTTTTATATTATTGTTTTATTTATCTCTCTCTAGTGGATCATGGACGTGTTGGTGTGTAACGGCCTGGGGATCTACTGCGGCATGAAGACCCTCGGCTGGCTGTCCATGAAGCCCTACCAGTGGCAGGGGCTGTGGAATATCCCCACATACAAGTACGAATAAACACCGACAACTGTTGACTCTCTGAAGCAAAATGTGGTTTATTCCAGGGTGATTAACCCACTACCTCCTACTAACTTGACTCTTATAGAAGAAATGTTAATTTCTTTAACCCTCCTCACTTGTTGTGTGACAGATATGTGGCATGAGGTTCTATATTAAAAGATATTGATGTTGTTTTTGACAGGGTTGTGAAGTAGTTGGCTTGTATAGCCCCTTTAATTACAGTTAGTGCCAATATTGCTGTGTTAAAAATGTATGTGTGTTCTAACTAGATCTACTGTTTCTCTCTAAGGGGAAAGATAAAGCGCATAGCTTTCCAGTTCACTCCGTACAGCTGGGTGAAGTTTGAGTGGAAGCCTGCTTCAAACCTTCGTCGCTGGCTCGCCGTGTTAGGAATTATCTTTATGGTAAGAATGATCCTTATCAAAATAAACAATGGTACTTTTTGTCAAAATGGAAACCAATGATAATATAACGTTGATAGTTGGTTGTAGAATAAGCTATACAATATGCTTTTAGCGACATCAGCTAGCTTAGCTTCACGCATTCTGCATTTGTCATGACTGTTTTCTTTTTAGAAAGTATGAGTTGATGCACTTATGATGTCAGGTGTGGGGGAAGCTTCTGAAGCAATAGGAGTCAGGACTCAAAGAGAGACACGATGGAGAGCTGGAGCTTTGATGGCAAACACTTTTTTTCAAACACAGACGGTTTATTTGGAGCTTTGGCCGGAGAATTCACATGTCACGGGCCACGGGTTGACCACAGGGGAGAGATCAGTGTTCATTTTGGCAGCTGTTTTTGATTTAGTCTTAGTCTTTAGACGAGAATGGTTATTAGTTTTAGTCACATTTTAGTCATTCCTATCCTTCATAGTTTTAGTCTAGTTTTAGTCGACGAAAACTCGACGAAAATTCAAAACGTTTTAGTCAACTTTTAGTCGATGAAAAATTACATTTTAGTCAAAATGTGTCTCTATACTCTCTGAACGCTCCGTCCCCGGCAGATCTCTGTGTCCGCTGCAGCATGTCTGTTAGGCCCCGCCCCCCGCACACAGAGAGACACAGGGAGATCGCTCTTCTGGAGTGAAGAGAGCGGAAATAATGATATTGCAAGTTAGAAACGTAAGATGCATTTTGACAGACAAGACGGACAATTCGGGGAAAATACCCTGCATTTTGAATGTCCGATAGTCCACCATTAACAACTTAGTCCCGTCCCGTCTCGTCAACGAAAACTAAATATACATTTCGTCATAGTTTTCGTTTATCAAGAATCTATTTTTAGCTCGTCATCGTCTCGTCTTAGTAATGTAAAAAAGGTTGTTGACGAACATTTTTCGTCATAGTTTTCGTTGACGAAATTAACAGTGGTAGAGATAAATGGTAAATGGACTGTACTTATATAGCGCTTTATCCAGTCTTTAAGACCCCTCAAAGCGCTTTACATACTACATCTCA